TTTTTTTTTTCTGGTGTCAGCATTTCAGTTTTTAGTGCAGGTCTTACAGAATAAACCTCAAATATACCAACGGCTGTTTTTCCGGAGGGGAGGGTTTCCCATATAAAAAAGGACGGACGGGGATGCTCGTCGAAAAGTTGAAAAGAGCCCTTAAAAGGTACCAAACTCCTCTTTTGTGGGATTGGCTTGAAACTTTTTTACCCTAAGATGTACCAATTCTAAAACGACGCATTATCTCCTGTCATATTTTTCTTCAGCTCAATACGTTAAAAGGTATAGCAAAAGCTCCTGCTGTGGACGTTTTGCGTTTTAACACCCTAAGAGTTACCAAAACTGCTTTTTTAACCACTGAAAGGTACGAAGAGCACCCCCTTCCTTTTTATATGGGAGACTCCCCCCCGGGCTTTTTTGTCCCTCCTTCGTCGAACTAGTAACTGAATGTCTAAAATTTTAACTAATACTTCGTGAAGAGGTGAAACAACAAAATTCAGCGGCAGAAAGCTTACCGTTTGGGTGTTCAGTGTAGAAACTGTGCAGGTGTGAAAAATTGTCGTCTTGTCTTGAACAGTTGACCAATCGAGCACGGGGCTTTCGAGATTGTCACTGGGTTGAATGTAAAAAAAGTAATTCTAACTTTGCTAGTACACTTTTATTTTATTGCACTATAAGTACAAATATGTAACTAATTAACAGCATGTGCAATTTAAATACCCCGTCAAAAGATCTTTCCCATTGTAGAGAAACGTACATTGGGACGGTCCATCTTAAAAAAAAGGTTTTGAATATATAGGACTTCGCGGAAGGAATCACTCTTTGTTTCACATATAGATATAAAAAGGGCGGAAGTTTTTAAAAATAATTTTTAGTATGTCATATCAGAGCAACACGCTACAGCCTATTGTATCTGCTTTAGGAGTGTCGCTATTATCGGAAGTGCTAACATCCATGAAATTAACGCCTCTTTGAGAAGTCGCTACATTCAAGGGAGGGAAGGAAGGTATTGCTTCCAAAAGTTGCTGTAATATTATGAAGTATAGATCCAATCAGAAAAGCAAAGAGGGCACGATGGTTGGAAGTCGTCCAAAATGCCATTTTGCTACTAATTAGAATGTTTCGTGCCTCTCTTTATGTCCCATAATAAGTTGGACTAAAGTTTGCATAGAAAATGGTTGCATGGAATTTTTTGATGATTGTTTCCACATGCAATCCACTGCAATTTCTGAAAAGTGAAGTTACAATGATACAGTGAACAAAATAACTGCTACTTACATTGTTTGTTAAACACGTATCGCAAATTGATGCAGCACAAATTGCTCTAAAATGGTTGCCACCCAGTAGCTGTGGTCCAAACTGAAGCAACGAAACTTATTGGGAAGGACACTCTCTTATAAAGCAAAAAAAGTTACCCAGGAGGTAAAATTACTGACACTGACGTCTTATTGCATCTCGTTTTGCGCATTTCCGAGTGACGATCCTCTTGTTTATCATAATATAATCGCGTTAAAAATAACTACTTAATCAATTTGCAATGGCTGTAGCGGAAACATTGTAAGTAGGGTTTACTTTAACTTCCCGAACCACCCTCATACTCACTTATGGATATCGAATAAGCCTTCTTGAATCAACACGTCGAAAGGCAAAAGTCCAAGATATATCTATAGCATTGAAAAACGACACGTAATTAATGGTCTAGGGTTGGGATTTTTCGAGTTCGCGGAAACAAATTTTCGCGAATTTGGACTTCAGACTTTACTCCTGGAAATAATTTTTCGCGGATTTCATGTACGGTACTTGATATTAACAAATACGGAAGCCATATACGCGCATCTACTGTTATTTGTTGTGTTTTTAGGCAGGAGATACCGCAGTTCCCTTGTCTTCACATAGTTGATTTAAAAGGCAAACAGCAGACTCTCAATTGCACTACCGTAATTATTGTAAAGAAAATACGGTAGGTCGTTTTCGTTACACTGTTTGCAACCAACGTCATTAAAATTCAGTAATATAAATAACAGGAGAAAATTTTCACTGAATTTTTTTTTGGCGGAATTTTGTCTTCAAGGGATTTAATTTTTGCTGCTGATCGATGAAATCGCGAAAATTAGATTCCACGAAATTTCATGTCACACGGTACCTTTCTTCTTCATGCTGAACGCTATGCTTTCCCGGGGAACTCCCATGTATAAAAAAGGACGGGGGTGAGATCGGCGAAAATTTTGTAAAAACCCCGTAAGAGGTACTAAGATTCTGTTTTGTGGGCGTGTCCTGAACCCTAGGAAGTACCAATTCTAAAACGACACATTACATTATCTTCTGTCAATTCTTTCTTTTCGGGCTCAATACCGTAAAATTTACCGCGAAAGCTCCCGCTGTGGACCTTTTAAGGCTGAACACCGCTAAGAGGTACCAAAACCACTTAATTAACTCCTAAAAGGTACCACGAGCACTCCCGTGCTTTTTATGTGGGAGTCCCCCCTGGCTTGCTTATGGGAGAGAGGGACCCTGAGAGCGTAACGTTGCGGGACAGTTACAGGCATGCACGAGGTTTTGATTTCCAAGTTCAGCTCAGCCGTTGTTGTGGAAAAACCGCTACAAATTCAAAATAATTAAAGCTCTATTTCAAATACCTTCCTCTTGGTGTTCTAGGCATGTTCCGTGTTTGAGGACAGAAACTTATCAAATTTTAGCACTTGGTGGCAGAATGCAGGAAAACCCGCTTGAGTAGCTGACATGAGTGCTAGTTTATAGGAAGGAAAAAGGACTCCTCTGATTTCCTGCCCTCCCGCCTGTGTTAATTAAGTGGATATGCTTCAGTAATGAAAAATCGAATGATAGCTTCACTTTTCCCCCTTCTGTTACAAAGACGTTTGGTCAAACAAGAAATTCAGAAATTCAATGTCATGAAAGGTTGAAACTTAGTAAATGATGGTTTTACCTCTTTTGTTTCAACATTGAAAGGGACATTGACTTTCAAAACTGTAATATTTTTAAGTGGCAAAAGCACTCAAGAGCCCGGCTATACGGCTATACCTGACTTTCTGTTATGGTATTTCTGAATTCCATTTCAGTTATTCTTGCAGCTGTTTTTTGTTCTTCGAAATTTACAAGATTACATTGTCTATATATCTTCCGCATCAAGACGGTGAACCAAATTCTAAGCTCTAACATTGAAAAGAATGCATGCCGATCAATAACTAAAGAGATGTTTTACTTTGACCTTCTCTCTAAAAGATTGAGTTTCCACTTTTTACCAACAGTAAGAGGTCGAACGAAAACAAAAACATGTCTGAAGTTACAACTGAAAAAGAAATGCCACCAGAACTAAGTCAGTATTATTTTCAACCCCTGTAAAGTCGTTTGCAAGGCCCAAATTTGCAGGTCTTTGGCATGTTTAGTTCGTAGTGTAGTTTCAGGGGGAAAAAGATCAAGCTAGGTTTTTTCCTCCCTTCGAATTCTTTGGTGGTTCGGACGTTTGCGTTTTAGTTTGTGTTTTTGCTTTTGTTAATTTGTTCGGGCCCTCGACGATGTTTGAGAAAGTGCCGGAGAGAAAGAAGAAGTTCTTTGAAGAGAAATACGACAATGCATTGCATTGCATGAACGGGACAATAGCTATTAGAACTAAAATCAATGTTTCCTAAAAGAACTCCTGCGTTAGCACTACTTAGGATCCAAAAAGACCTCTATCTTCGATTTTTCAGTCGTAATTCGTTCATTACGTTGTTGCGTACGTGCTCCACATGAGCTTACACTGGTGCCAACAAACCATGCTACCACAAACTCAAAGACGCCCGACCTCATATACCGCAAAATTCCAAATGTAAGCCGTTGCAAAAACAAGGTCAACCCCGGACGCCCCACTAATATCCTTCCGGTAATAACGCCCTGCCCTCCCCCAAGAAGACAACCTCAGTGTCGCATTTGAGTTACAAAATTCGGTTGTAAAGATATTCGCCGCCGTGGTTCACATTCTCCAGGCTAAAGTACCGGTCAAAATAATAAGCATCATTAACATCCCCCCCCCCCGGGCATACCCCGGGAACTTGACTTGTCGATGTGCTCCCTGAGTACAAGAGTTTGGCGTTAGTGGTTGTTATGAAAGGGGGGGGGGGTGCACAGAATATGGGACGGGCAGAGGTAATTTGTGCAAGTTACCTCGAAATGATGACTTTTTCGCTTCTGTTGGGGAAAGTTTCCTGAAACAAGAGTGTAATTACTCAACATAGTAAATAGTGTAAAAAGAAGATATCATAAGCTGGTCAATGAGATTGTACATTGGAAGGTGCTATATTTTATTTTTTCAATAATCCGATCTTTCAGAGATCACTTCACAAAAACAATAGTTTGGTATTATTCTTTATCTGTATTTTAAAAATATGTACTTTCAAATTAGGCTTTACTAAATAAGTACGTAGTGGAAAAACCATTATATTAAACGTTCCAAATTCATCCTGCAAACAGTACTGCAAAAGGAAACAATTCGGCATTCCGGGCAATAAATAATTTCTCTTAAAATACAAGTTTCTTCCGACCATTCTCCTGTTATAACTTCCAAGGTGTTCTCCAACCTTGGTAAATGATGTTTTGGCTTTCCTTTCAAAATGTGGGTAATTTTTCGCGTAGCAAAAGAGAAACTAATGTAACAGTGACATAACTGCCTAAGGAAAGTGAAAGTTGTTCTTTTTAAATCTTTTCAAAATAAACTGAGTTTTCCAGCATTGGCTAAGAATTCTCTTTGAGGGATTCGATTCTAGTTGATGTTCTATCAGTCTTGTCCAGTAAAAGCTGAAAAAAAATAAACTAAACGTGAGAAAACCACATGACGTCTTTACATTTAGACTGCTTTGGAATTAACAGGAAATGTAACTGTGGATTAGTCATAACAGTAATACATGTACATACGCACAGTTTGTGACAAGAACAGTAAACGTTGTCAACTATAGGGCACTCTCTATCACTTAATTGTCAAGGGTAAAGGAGAAGTCTGCTTCTGACCGTGTGTCCCATTAAAACACCAGAGTTTGTGGGCAAGACACTTGCTCTCACAGTGCATCTCTCCACCCTTATGAATAAATAGGTGAGAGCGATTTAAAGCTGGGGGGAGGGAGGGTTTGATCCTGCAGTGGACTAGCATTCCATCGAGATCGGAGTAGAAAGATTGCACCGTATTGAAAACTGGTATTACATCTGGCTATATGAAATTCTTTGGCTGGACGCAGACTATAGAGATACCAGATTGAGCTGATGCGATAAAGAGATGAACCAAATAAAACAAAAAACGTTGACTCTGTAATAATGTTATCACCCATCATCAGACAGAATTAGCAGGTTAAAATACACATAGATCTGCTATTTATAACAAAACTACCACTTATCATTGAAATGATACTGACCTGAATCCGCTGAACCAATGATTTCTTTTTTCCTCTTGCTTGCTGTAGACTGGGATCTATGAGCTGAAATTGTTGAGCATTAAATCAAAAGCTATTTCTGGTACTTTTTATTGACTCCAGACAGACAGACAAACAGAAAGACAGACACGCACACAGACGAATTGTATCTGTTAACTTTTTGGTGTTTAGAGTTGTACCCTGTGTGTCTTTTCTGGTCCATTTTTCTTAGTTATGTTTAACATAGCATTCAGTTCTGTGTCAGGTATCTGGTAGAACCTCCAACAAGCAACTCAGGACACTTTGCAGCTAGTGACCAGTCACAACATAAATTGAAGTAGATCACCAATACCCCCTCGCATGATAATTACGTAGTAAATTGAGTGATTGTTCACCTTGGTGTGCACCTCGTTGTGGTGGTACAGCTTGTGTGCAACTAGTCCCCTGAAGAGTTTACATGAAGGGTCTGGTCGCAGGGACTTGTCCCAAGAACAGTTCACATGAAGCGTTTTGAGGAACAAGTCGCAGGAACTTGTCCCAAAAATTCAAACTGGTTTGAATTTGTGGGACTAGTCGCAGGGACCAAATTTTAGTCCCTGCAATTAGATTTTGTGGTAAAAATGTCCAGTTCACACGATGGGACTTGTCCCCTGCGACTTGTTGCAGGGACCAGTTGCAGGGACTTGTCCCCTCATGTGTGCCGATCTTAAGAGCTCGGGGCTTTCATTAGGGGCTGGGAACCGTTCAAATTGACCAACTGTGAGGATGTTTTTGCCCACTTGCTTTGACCATCAAGAGGTAAGTTTTTCTTATAACGAAGTTCACCTCAAAACGTTTTGGCCACCTGTGAAAACCAGCTGAAAATGTTAATGAAACCCCTGAGAGCTATGCTGGCTGGGTCTTCCATCCCTGGCAGGTCTAACCTTGCTAGATTACAGTCTGTAGTCAAGGGGTTGAGACCTGACAAAGATTAGCCCTTGATCCACCAAGTTGGGGATTGAGGTATGAGCTAATCACCCATTCCTTTAAAACAGCAATTAAATATGGAAACCTTGAGGTCTTATGTATCACTTGGCTTGATAGGGAAAGGTGCGAAGGTGAATTAAGTGACTGTTAAATGTTTGCAACATTATTGACGATTCCTCAACTAAGATTCCACTAACCAAGGCATCCAGGCCCTCAAGAGTTTTCATAAAGTCCTCACTAACTGCTTGTATTTTTCTTGATAGCTTATCCAGTGCCTGGGTGACCAGCTCTGGTTGAAGAAATCCCTGTTGAACATATCAATTTGTAACAGAACAAGGCAATTAAAACTGAATAATTCTAAATACAGAAACTGAGAGAATAGGCCATATTTGTACGCTTGGTATCGGACTAGAACTAGCTTGGAATGGAGACTCATGCCAAATATAAATAACATTCATCTCTTTTAAATGATGTTCCCAGTGTTAGCTGTGTAGTGTAACAGATTTCTGAGGAGCTTCTGCTTATTTGGTCTATGTTTTCAGCCCCCAGTCCCTGCCCTTTACCCATGTGGAGGGTTCGGTTGCTGGGTTTGCCAGCTGTGGTTCAAGTGGTTTCCTGTCTGGGGATGGGCTGGTCTCAATGGGCCCCCAGACGTCCCAGGTTACCATCTTCAATACAGATTGATGCAGTCAGTATGGTTGTTAATCAGAAACTGCCAAATGTTGTAATTTGAAGGACATGGGAAGATCATAACAACCAGGTACAGGGGTTTCACAACTTGTCATCATTTTAGGGACAGCATTAATTTAACTATTAAAGAAATGAGTAATTAAATATTAATAAAGAAATAATAGTTATCTATTTCATTTAATTATCACAAGTATGTTCAGTATTTTGACCTTTTCTATTCCTTGGAGTTCTTCTAGATTTTCGTTGAGTCTTTTCTCAATATCATCCACCTTCTTTTCAGCTGCCAGAATTGCTTTCATGTTTTCTTCAGCTAAAGGATCAAACTGTGCCAAGATGAACCAGAAATAACATCAAAATGACAGGAACAAAATAAATTCACTTGGCAACTTCAAAATACTTGGAAACAGTGTTTCTTAAAAATGACAGGGTATGCCACTTATTATTAACTTAACCATGAATCCTGCATAGGTTCTAAAACTGGAAGAATGACAATTGATCTATCATGTTGCTGAACTACAGGGTTGTCGCTAAGTGCAGGCTGCCGGTGAAATTCGCCGGCTGAGAAAGAGGTGATCACTGGCAGGATTTTGACGGGCAATCACTCAGTAAAGGACAACGAACGGTTTTTAGGTTAAGCATGTACAATGATTCAATATCTGAACCACATTGAACCATCTAAAGGAAAAGTTTGGAATCAATTCCTGACTACCTTGAGTATCCGTGCCACTATAACAAGTAAAGTAATTGAGGGAAAATCTTATTTTGAGCACTTGTTTAGTGTGTTGTCTTTCTGTGTACTGCATCCACCATCTTGTAAACATGAAGCTTGGTAGCCCTGCATTCAAGGTGTTGCAAAAGATTGGGGACAAAAATTGTGTTCCAGGTGACCAGCTCAATGAAAATCTGAGCCAGAAGACTATTTTCTTATCTTGTATCTAGTACTTTTTAAATTTTATCTTCTATTTTTAAATTATCATGATGTCTTGTAATTTTAATTACTGGTATTACATTTTTAGTCCAGGGCCCTTCTGGATATCAGCCTCATTGCTGAATGGGCCACCCTGGCTAAATAAAGTTTACCTTTACATTTACCTTTACAACCCTCCATCTATTAGATCAGTTTGATTGATATTTTTGTCTTGTAAATGCAACTTATCACTGCAAAGCTTTTGTAATGGTAAAGTCTGCAGCAGACCAAGTGGTATAAACCCATAGAGCTTAATATCCAGGTTTCTGTAGTACAAAGTGACTGTTTCTACTCCTCCCTGGAGGGATGCTAGTCTATCAAAGGACTACCCCCAGCACTAATTCACTGGCACCCATTGGAGGGAGAGTGGAGTGGAGACTGAGACACTGTTAGAGCAAAGTGTTTTGCCCAAGAACACATCACAATGTCCCCGGCCAGGGCTGGAACCTGGACTGCATGACCCAGAGTATCTTACCCATTAGGCCATGGTACCTTCTGCTTTTGTAGGGAGTAGTTAATTGGGGAGTGGTTAATTGAGCACTGTACACCGTAGTGTACCGTACCTTCCAAAATTAAATCAGAACCAGGGAACTACACGTAAATATAATGAATAAAATGTAGAATCTTAAGATTCTCAAATGAAGGTTAAATGTGTGGCAGTCTGACCTTTTTGCCAATTAACATTATCCTACTTCCCTTCTTCACTCCAAGCAATTTTAATGGCTGTGGAAATTCTGTTAAAGACTGCCCTAAAACAAGGAAAACTTACCTTAATATTTGTACTAAACAATACTTACATACTCTATCATTGAGAAGGGGGGATTTTTTCTCCATCCAGTTTAAAATTATTCAAGTTGAGTCAAAGAGACTAGCAGAGGTTTTTGGATTTAATGCTATTGAACTCAGTCTGTCTTGCCTTTTAAAGCAGCGCTTTTGTAATATAAACTTATCTGAGGCAACTATTTGACCTGCATAAAATTAAACTCTTTATATTAGTTCTCATCTCCAGGCATTTATCATGATAGAAATTACATCATTTCAACCATAGTCATTTATGAGGTCTTTTTGAGCTAATAATTATCCAAAATGTTTTTCACTGATATAACACTACAGTTGACCACATTTCTTAAAGGAGATACAGAAACTCAAGGTGTTTTGCTTTTCTATAGACCCCCTCATCGTTTATATTGAGAAAATCAGTTTAAATTTCAAACAATAGAAATAATTCAATAGTGTATTTCGAGCTGGAAGAAATAAGGTTGAAAGCTGAATTAGGCTGCCTCGCCACTTACATGCAAGCTTAC